CTCAGCTCTGGGGGGGGGGGGGGGACAAAATAACAAAAAAGACCAAAACAAAACAACAAAAAAACAAGCTTTCTAATTCTTATACTGCTAAGCTTTTAAATTATAATTTTCATTCTGTACACTATGCTAAGCATTCTCCCAAATATGTTGATAAGTTACATATATCATAAATGACATAAAAACTATGACATTTAGTCAGAGCACCAACCAAGCCTTTCTTGTAAATATATTCTGGAGTTTTCCTAGAACTTGTACCCAAAGGCTGGAAGATCTTTAAAGGTTTTGACTATATATTTCTGCTTATACAAGAATATTGGCCCATTTTATATATTGACCAACAAATTTAGGTGCTATTAAGTGTCCTCTTCAGTTTGCTGTGACCAGGCTCATGCGTACTTGGTAGCATACATGCCTATACACATCTCTTCTATGATGTGACAAGAATACAACTGCTCTATCCCATTAGTCACGATTGTAGTAAGTAGTGTCATGAGGAACCAATGATTATCTTGCCAAGTCCTCGACCTACACATACACAGGATCTCTAATTCTAAAGCACACAGACATGAGGAAATGGAGACTCTGAAGAGTTAGCCGAGAACTTGAAGCACACTCCCAAGTTGAAAAGCCTTGGATGTTTGGCTCTGACAGTGGGCCACACTTTCTATGTCATGCCATCTGGCAACTCATCTGACCTTTCAGTATGATCACCTGTTCCTTTAGCATTATCTGCAACAACAAACTAAGATTAATCTTTAGGGAAGTAAAGAAGAGCAACAGTTAAGAACAAATTGCATGATGTTATCTCATCTTTAAAAGTCAAGAAGCAGGCATTGGCAGTGTAGTAGCATGGAATGACCACACATCCTTAACAAGGCATAAGCCCTTTAGAAAACAGTTTGGCATCCTTCCAATGAAGATCAAGATTTATATAAATCTCATGTAATGACAATTTAACTAGGACATCCATTCAATAATGTTCATGAAATCCAAGAATTGTAAACCATCTAAATGGCCTTTTATAACTGAATGCACAAACAATGAGTGACATGGTATGTATTAGTAGAACACTATATAGAAAACAAACCACCACAACATGGACAAATCTCAAAAGTTAAGGGAGGGTGAAAGAGATAGCTCAGGAGGTAAAAGCAGTTTCTGTACCAGCCTGACAACAACCTTCGTTCAGTCCTTAGAACTAACATAATAGCCAGAGTGACAGTGGTACACATCTGCAATCCTAGGACTTCAACATCAAGGTCAGAGTCAGAGAGACCAGAGATCAGCCATAAGGTCATGTGCTTACTAGCCTCAATTTCAGATACAGAACAAGAATACCCTTCTCAACAAAGGGGAGGCAAGAATCACAAAGTTGTCCTCTGATCTGCACACACATCTGCATACATGCACAAACACACATACATACAATAATATATAATTTTAAAGACAATAATTAAAAATAATTCTAAATAATGTATTAGAACTCATACAGAGTAAAACCAAAGCTAAACTACATTACTTAGCAATTTATACCTAAGTAAAAGTTCAATTTTGAGGTGTCAGCAATTACTTAGAGGTGGTTGTATAGGCATTTTCAGTCTTCAATTAGGGGTGTGTGTGTGTGTGTGTGTGTGTGTGTGTGTGTGTGTTTAAATTTGTACTCAATGCAATCTACAGGTTATATTTCACAATTATCAATTAGTATTATCTTAGATTTGTCATTAAAGGAACAGAAATAAAATATAAACAATAGATAAGCAAAAGCATCTTTACCATAAGCCTTCCTTTCTTCTTTACCATTATGAACCAAGCTCAGCATCTTAGGTGTGCTAAGAAGCACTTTACCAGGAAGCTCCATCTCTGTCCAGAAATCCTATTGAAAGATGTTTTAGTATCATAATGTCAATGTTCTTTACATTACAAGTAGTGAATTGAGCAAAGAAAAGTCCAGGAAGTCCCTGAGAGTTAAACTTCCTTCAAATAAAAAGACTTAGAATATATAATCTTTTGGAATATTAAAGAATACACAAGAAGAAAATACAACAAAGCAAGTATTGTGTCTAATGGTCAGGACACAGTGGGGACCTTCATTCAAAGACAATCCTCAGCTTTTTATATATTTTCACATAGTTTAAAAAAAAGCAAAGTACAAACTTAAATCTGCCTTTTAATACTAGTGTTTAAGATAACCCAAATACATAAAAGCCACAACAGATAATTTCAGCTCAGTATGGGAGAACAAACACATTCTCTACTTTTCATTCTGGACTTTTCACTGGCAGGGGTGGTCTCGTATTTACTTGTTTGTTTTTAAACCTCTAAAGATCTCTAGCCTTGCTGGAAGAATAAGAATTTTAAAATAATAACAAAACCTTTTCTTCTTTAAAATAAGAAGAAAACCAGGCACTGCAGGCCTCAGCAAACAAAATACAGGACATTGAGTTTTACCCAACTTCTTTTTCTGCCACATTTAAAATAAGTTTTTACTTAAAAAAAAATCAGGTATGTTAGAGTCGATCATTTTTGCTGCATTTTGGGCTCACTAATACACATAAAGAACTAGTTAAAATACCAGGCTGAATAAATGAACAAAAGGACAATTAGCCCCACTTACAAGGCTCCACTCACTTTACTTCAAACACATCTGGAACAATGATTGGAACCCACAGATGATGCCTCCCTGGATTAATTTTGTGACATATATTGATTGGTATTCTATATAAGGGAACAGACATCATTATGTGGTAATCCGAAACTCAGGAACTGAGTTCAAGGATAACATCCTTTGTTTTGCCTGAGATTGTTGATAGTTTCAATTCCTATGAAAATAAATAAAAACCTATTCAATTTCCATTATGGACTCTAATATAGAGTTTCATTTTCTCTGCAATATTTTAAAGTTCTTGAGTCTTTGACATAAGGTCTTAAGATACATATAATGTTGTCTTTTCTAATGCAATATGTACCAGAGTATAATTAGAATGGTTGTGTGCTACATTACTCTCTGCACTATACAGTACTACTTGCTCTGTAGAGTCCTTTGATGGCAAAAGCATATGGAGTAAAATTCAGGAAAGTAAACTAAGCTGGTTATTTCCCACTTGATTCAACTAAAGCTTTCTGTAGTTTTATATGTACTGTTTTCAAAAGCTACACATTATTACTCATTATCAAGATTAATTAATAATTCACATGTTAAATTAAAAAATATTCAAGTGGGTTTTTCTCTATAAACATAAATACCAAATTATTCATCCAAATGACAAATAACATTATGACTATCCTTTCAAAAAGAATACACATCTCAGCAAGAAATGTATTTTTGGATCACTAGGAATTTCTTCCCTTATAAAAACAACAGCACAAAAATAAATTATTTGTCTAAAACAGTCCCAAGAAAAATATTTAATGAGATATATATATGTATAACCTTCATACTTTCAAAAGTAGTATCTTAAAGATACTGAGATGGCTCATTGGATAAGGGTACCTGCTGCCAAGGTGACACCTAAGTTCCATCCCTGGAACCAACATAGTGGAGAGAACTGGTCTGTCATCTTGTGCTGTGGCACATGCTGTAATATGTGCATATCTCATGAACATCTACACACAGGAATACACACATGCATGCACACACACACACATACACACAATAAATAAATGTAATAATTAATTCTAAAACATAGCACTTTAAAAATAAAAGTAGAAGGTTTGAACTATGAGATCTTCAAGCTTCAGACAGTATACTGTACACCTGAAGAGAGATCTGCCCTTCCATCCTCCAGAGAGATGCCAGACTTCCTACTGCTTCTCAAACCAATCACTGACAGGATGTAAATCCACGCTTGCTCTGTGTTTGCAAATCTGCCTGCCCTTAAAGAGTGCAGCTTAGATGCAAAGGGTGATTTTAGGTGGACAGCACAGATTAAGCCACTTCTATCTTGTTTCCAGCAAAAAGCAAAGATAAAGCCCAGAGAAAACAAAGATGCCCTCCTGAGTTCACTAGCTTCTCGATGCCCTGTAGGCTTCAGTGGCACCAAGGAAGCACAATGAGAGCAAATAGCAGTTTCTCATTTCTCTGTAGCTTGGCCCCCCTCAGAAATGAACACTTTTACTAGCAAAAGACTTAGAGTTCCAATTCCTGCACTACTGGGGGCAATGCTCACCTGAGGGACCGATAGGAGGAGATGGCCTGAGGCTGGCTGCCAGTGCTGGCTACTGCTGCTGCTACAGCAGAAGACACATATATCTTTCCCACCATACAGACTACTTCAATAGCAGGCCACTAGGAGAGGAGGCTGCTCTTGTTTGCTTTCCTTTCTCTCTGCAAAGGTGGTTTTCTTTAAGCTGTACAGCTTGTCACTGCCAGTGAGTTGTAACTCATCAGATGATTATGTTCTAAATGAGAAGACATCTATATGGAAAAAGGAATGCAAATCATTCTTAACCACTTCATTGCCTTATTAATTAAAATAAGAAAGTTATAATGTCCAACAAATGATGATCTGATGAGAACCTACCACCATTAATTACTTCAAAATCCTAAGGGCTGAGGGAGGGCCCTGGCCTAGGGTCTAGAACAACTGCAGACAATCCCAAGGACTGCACATAGATAGAAACCATGTCCAAGGTCTCACAACAAATGAAATTATAAACTTGACATGCCAGCAGAGCCTCCTTTCTCCTAAATGATCATCCAGAAAAGAATAACAACATGCCATGCATCTTACTTTGAAAGGAAAGAACGACAGAAGAAATTATTCAGCTGGGGAGAGAAACAGAAACACTGAAAGGCAGAAACAAAGTACTGTGTTGAAAACACTGAAGAAAGATTCAGGTTTCCAGCTTTCCAGCATAGGGGAAGAAAAGCCAACGCCTTCCAGCTTTGATGCCTAACTGCCCTAAAATGCCAGGCTATGAATTTCTGTACAGGGAGTACCCTCAGGTGACACAACCATAAATAAATAGCTTAAAACAGGATATTCCATCTGCTTCTGGGTATTATAGCAGCAAATGCTTTCAAGGTAAAAATCAGAGCTGTCCTCACAGCCTTCTTCACAACTCCTTTCGCAAGGCCCAAACACTTACTTGAAGCTAAAGCATCTCTCACACAACCCAAAAGGATGGCTACCACTGCAGGAGGCAGCTGCCTGAGAAAATGGTTCCCCTTCACCTTTCCCTTTAATTGTACCTACTGTTTAAAGAACCCTGGAACAGCTAGAAGATGGAAGCCAAATGTCAAAGCCAGACTCCTTGTTGCTTCTAGAGTTTTTCTCTGTACAAACTGAGTTTTCCTGTGTTTGTGGGTTAAAAAAAAAAGGGGGGGGGCACAAATACCAATGAGAATGAACACCATGGCTATTCTTGCCATTCAGTTAGAAAAGGCTGTTGAAGGAAGAAGATTCTGCCAAGCACTACTCAAGTTCATACATCCATGAGCCAACATGCACAGAAAGAACAACCAAGACTTGGGAGCAGTAGTGAGAAGGCCAGTAGAAATCAAGGTGAGGGACATGCACTTTTACACTGGAATACAAACAGCAACAGTTGTAATGCCCACCTCAACCCTCAATCTCAAGTACTCCATAGGAATAATGGGATAGACATCAAATATGAATCATGTCCTACCAGCATTTCTACCAGCAGACATTTCGATCATGAACTGATGAGCTTTGTTCTTTTATCTAGATACACTCATATTTCATATTTCAGAGCCTTGCATGCCACTTGTCACTGGGTAAAGAGCTTTCTTCCCGTTACCACCAGGCAAGTGTCCATATACTGTGTTTAACCAAAGCCCATCAGCAATACTTAGAATGCCCTGTCTAATTTGTGATCCAAAAGGACCACACACACACACACACACACACACACATTCTTAAAAAAAAAAAAAAAAAGGTTATTTCTTCCCAAAATATATACTAAGTTCCAAGCAGTTTTATTTGGGTATAAGGACAATTAGCTGAGTTTTCTCAAAAGGCTTAAATAATATCTATAAATATAGTCAAGCAAACCAAAAACCAACTGTTTTTGAAAGAAAGAAATGTAACGATCGTATTACATCTCTTTCCTCGGCCCTAAACAACATCAGGACTCAGAACTCTTGTATTATTTCTGTAGACACCAAAGCAGAATTTTGTTAGAAATAGCACCTTTGTAGCTTTGATGAGGGATGTGGCATTTGGGAAATTGAGGGCCCTGATTAATTGCAGTTCCAGGCCATTCTGTTAAATAACTTCAAGAGGTTTCTGAGATCAATATGTGTAATGTAGCTCACCCAAATGGCACAATCTAAAAATGTGACAATAACTTTCATGACATCACAATGAAGAACAACAGACTTACTTTTAACTGTTCTCAAAGTTGTTGTTTAAAATTTAGTATTAATAGCAGTGTGGTGGTGCACACCTTTAATCCCAGCACTCAGGAGGCAGAGACAGACAAATCTCTGAGTTTGAGGTCAACCTGGTCTACAGAGTGAGTTCTAGGGTTACACAGAGAAACGTTGTCTTAAAAACAAAATAGCATTAACTATCATGCAGAAATGTTGTTAAATGATTATCTCAACAAGAAAAATCCTTTTGTGGCAAGAACTAGACAAACACAGCATGATATAATGCATTTGACGCAATAGTGACATGGGTATTAATGAGACTTATTCAGACTCCACTACAATAACACCTCTTTCAAAGTCAACTCAACTTTCAAAGTTTTGTTTTTTTAAATAAGCACAAGCTATATAACAAGATTCTATCTCAAAAATCAAACAATATAGACTGTGGTGGCTCATGCCTTTAATCCCAGCACTCAGGAGGCTGAATCAGGTGAATTTCTATGAGTTGAAGGCCAGAGTGAGTTCCGGGACAGCCAGGGCTACATGGACAAACTCGGGCTCAAAAAAACAAAATAAAAAACAATAACAACAACAAAAATCAAACAACAAAAAATACTCATTCTTCATGGGGATGACATTCTATCAAGAGGGATAAAAACTAAAAGTAAGCCTAGTAAAGTATGTTTTCTAAAGGCTATCTAAGAAGCTTTGATTATGAAATTAAATTTAAACTTTGTAATATAAATAAACTAGTTCTTTGTAGACACAATGCCCCTCACTCAAAACTGAATGTCTGGCAGAGTCAAAGGAGCACTTTGCTCCTTACAGTTGTAATGAGTATGAAATGACTTCGGTAATAGGAACCATGCCTCTGCCAGTAAGTATCTCACTTTTATTCTTTCAAATAATTAGAGCCATCCTTTCATGTCAAGTCTTGAGCACCCTCTCTTTTCTTTCCAGATGCATCATCCTCTTTCTGAGTAGCAGATACACAGGACCTCAGTCAAGTACTACTCTACAGGCTGGAGATTAAGACATAGTCCTCACCTATGAAGAGCTGACTGTATACCTGGAAAAAGACAAAGGAAGATCAAGGATTATAAATAGATACCTGAAGTGTGTAAAGCATAGAAGTTGTGTTCAGAGGAAGGAACAATGATCTCTGCCTAGAGGAAACTACTCTGAGAGGATGGGGAGACATGTGAAGGCAAAAGCATACAACAGTTCATAGATACCTTATGTATAATATGTAACATTGGGAAAGCAGCAAGAGAGGAAGTGACCCTAAGAAGCAAAATTTATGAACAGCAGAGACTGTGTCACACAGCCACCATCACAGCAAATGGACCTCAGGAGAGGAATAGAAGTTAAAAGTAAAGATGGTTTATGCACATATTTAAGTCACAGCACTGGGCACGCTGCAACCAGTTGCTGGGCATCAGGCTTACTCAAAGAAAGTAGAAACAAGGATAAGGTTAGTATCTGAGCTAGCCCCAAACTGCAGCCTCTGTCTCTAGGCAACCCTCTCCAGTCCCCACTGTACGTGGCACTAACAGCAGAACCTCTGTTATATACTACCCTCATTTTAGCACTGTTCTCAAACCAACAGAGTAAGTGCTACATGTGTATCCTTTATTTATGTATAGACTGTACATGGTCATTTTTCCATTCTTGTTAAACACCTACAAAACACATCCCAAAATTCATATAAGACCCTTTATTTTTATAGAAGCTGAGAAAATGATAAAGTTGACAAAGTGCCAGCTGCATAAATAGGAGACCCTGAGTTTGGATCCCCAGCATTCACATAAAGCTCTAGGATGGATGGATGGATGGATGGATGGATGGATGGATGGATGGATGGATGGATGGATGGATGGATGGATGGATGGATGGATGGATGGATGGATGGATGGATGGATGGATGGATGGATGGATGGATGGATGGATGGATGGATGGATGGATGGATGGATGGATGGATGGATGGATGGATGGATGGGTAGGTAGGTAGATAGATAGATAGATAGATAGATAGATAGATAGATAGACAGACAGACAGACAGACAGACAAATAAATACATAAACCTTTCTGAAGTCTCAGCACTTGGGAGACAGGAACAGGTGGATCTTTGTCCAGCCAGCATAGCAAATCAATAAGCTCAAGGTTCAATGAGAGTCCCTATCTTTTAAAAAACCAGAAAAGCAATCCAGAAAGAGACTCAAATTGACTTCTGGTCTCCACATACATGTTTACACCACCTTCACGTACACATACAAACAAGCACATACACTATACAAACACACATATTTTTAGTGATTCACTTGTTAATATCTCTTCATGGGTATATGGACATGAATGCAGGTACCCTCTGAGGCCACAGACATCAGATTTCCCTGAAGCTGGAGTTAACGGTGTTTTTGAACCCCTGGCATGAATACTGGGAATGAAAACTGGGTTCTATGCAAGAACAGTACACACTCTTAACTGCTGAGCTAACTTCCCAGCCCCTATAGTCCCCCCCCCCCCCCGCCCAAGACTTATACTGGCTGGTAAGATGGCTCAGCAAGTAAGACCCTTGATGCCAAGTCTGATGATCTGAATTTGATTCCTAAAACCCACATAGTGGAATAAGAAAACTGATTCCTACAACATACCCTCTGACCTCTGTGTCCACATTAAACAAGTAAGTATAATAAAGGTGATGTTAAAACAACATTTCTAATCACAATTGTGATCTTTTGGCAGTAGCAAGTGAATAGAAATAAGACACTGGGCCTTGGGAACACTCCATTGTATGTATGTATGTATGTATGTATGTATGTATGTATGTATGTATGTGTTTAATTTCTAACCAAAAACAATAACCAGGTCAGAATTATGCCTAACATGATATAGCTATCCTTCTACAAGCACAAATGCATTATAAATTTAGAAGAGGTGGCAATGTCCCTTGAGGGAAACTCTTTTAATATCTCAAACATAAATATGATAGCCACTGATAGTCTTTTAATTGAAGTTACAATACATGATAAATAAAACACAAATATCTGTACAAACACACTGTTAACAAAATATGAC